TTTAGCAACATTTTAAACAACAATTTAGACTTGGCTTTTATTTCTCAGACTTGGCTTTTAGTCCGTCCCCAATTCAAGCCAAGCATAGATATGTTTTCTCCGTCAACCGCAGAGTTCGCGTCAAATTCGTCTACCGTTTTACAAAGGGGAGCTCGAAAAATATTACACCGAGGCCCCCAGTTGTCAATCTACTCTACCGTATTAGTATACATTTAGATCGAGGCTATTTAAATTTACCTAATACTGTTCATTCTTTTTTTTTGCTGCCAGTCAGTCATATTTATTAGTTATTAATAAAAGAATAGTGGGGGTAAAACTATACAGAGTGAGTCTTAAATAAGTGCAAATATTTTAAGGGGTCGTATATTTCGACCCCAGGAACACTTCTATGAGTTTTTTTTGCAAAAAAAAAGATGTTAAAAATCGTGCATTTTCTTTTAAATTTTCCTGTATATTTTAGAAAACTTTTTAGAACTTCCTGTTAACCGCAAATTTTCCCACGGTATAGTTTCTTAAGCTCTGATATTACGGCACTAAAAGAGATGCAAATACCGAAAAATTGAGGTGGTTAATTTTTTTTTAAATAAATCTATTTTATAAATTTTCCAAACTTTAATAACTCGATTGGACTTATTTGAAACTCGTTAAAGAGAATATGTTATGTTTACGTTATTGAGATCCACGAGCCCTGAAAATATTTGCACTTATAGACTTGCCTTGTATAATAAAAATTTTCAAACCGAACAAACAACAGATGATTATTAAAATTATAAGTGTCCCAGAGAAAGACATTTTACAATAGTTATTTTACAAATTGGTGTTTATGTTAAAAGGCAACTGACGATTATACTGATGGAAATTGATTAGTTAGTTATGGATCACTAAAGATCTTATGTCACTTTAGTTAGAAGATTAACCATTTAATTTTTGCTAATCCAATCTTTTTTGAGCTCTGCTCGGGACCGGCCCACCGGCCCATCTTTCCACCGGCCCACCGGGAATTTTCCCGTTTTTCCATATGGCCCATCCACCCCTGAATATTGATACTAACAATTTATAACAAAATGGTTGAATAGGTGAAATAAATTGACTTGGTTTTACATGAGATCTCACAACTTTTTATAGTGGAAGAATTGTATTGCGAAACTTTTGCTAGGAATTTTTTGCATTCTATGTTTTTGGTGGGATCTATTTCTCACGATGTATTGTTAACTTAAGCACTATTTTTATTATTAAAACTTATTATTTTGAATAATAAATTAGAGTAGTATTTAGTTGTTAGACGAAACTATGTCTTTTTAAATTTAAATAAATAAAATCAACTATAATAATCAAACTAATAGCAAGTAAAAGCATTTTTACATTCTATGTTTTTGATGGGATCTCATTTCTTTTTGTAGGTTATCCTCCTCCTTTTTTATCGGGTACCTAATATATCATTTCAAAATAATATTAAAAAAAAATTTCTAGCAATAATTCACAAACTTTGAATTATTGTATGAAGTCAGTTAATATCAAATGGATTCATTCTAGTTTCCTAACGGCTTGTGTTTCCGACTTTCGTTATAACCTAAATTTCAACTTTAAAAATGTTCAAGTCATGATTTTACCAATGCTTATTCAAAATCATGTTTTTGAATAAGTATAGGTTAGTACCTATAAAAGAAAAAATACGGGATATGAAAGTAGTTTCTAAAAACGTAATTATATACTGGGTGTTCCATTTAAAATATCAAAGATGCTACCACTTTTCAAATTATCTGACAACATTGTAACGCTGATAATATTTTAGATAGATGGAGCAGGTGCCTTTATATAAAAATCGACATTTTCAAAACAATCCTATCACCGGTTCTCACTATGAGGTATTACTAGATAGTTTGGTAATTACTAGATATTTTGGTAATCTAGCCAGCTATAGTATGTCCTTATTTTTATATAATATGCCTATGTTTAGTTAAAATTAATATGCTTGCTTTATCCACAACGAAGTTACAGGGTGATCAAAAGTGCCGCTTAATACCTTCGAGAAAAGGATGGTACGGATATCGACTTGGCGGCAGTTTGAATTAGGGTTAGTTGTGGTAATGGTAAACGATTTTAACAAGGTATAACTTTGAAACTTTGACGTTTGCACTGAAAATTCTAAACGGGTATATTTTAAGACACTTTACTTAATAGGTGCTTTGATGGACAGCTAGAAATTGCAATACGTTTCAAAAAAACTTGTTTACATTTATCCCATAGGAAAATCAAATATTGCCTTATTTTGGGGTAAATGTAAACATATTTTTTAAATGGGGTAATAATGAACCAGGAACTATACAAGTTTGTTTTTAGTTGGATTATAAGTTTCTCAATGTGTTTAATTGTTTACAATTTTCCCCATGGAGACAAAATAAAACATTTTGTTATAAAGACAAATTACTGTTTTATCAAAAGTGTACAAAAAATATTAAGGGTTTTCAAAAACATCTATCTTTCCCGAAAACGAATATATTATCTTCCTTCCTACAAACCTAACCAATGCATTTTTAACGTTTCTTTTTTTGTGGTCTTTTTCAGATCTGTCTTGGAGCTTATCAGTGTTAACACGTGTTTACTATTACCCCAAAATCAAGTTTACAATTGCCCCGCAATCCTATTTTACTGGGGCATTTGTAAACACCTCTATACTTCATTTCCCGTAAAAGTTAATCTCAAATTGTAACATGTATTTTACTAATACAACATTAAATGAAACCACTATGTATATATAAATTATCTTAACTTATTCACAAACTGAAATTTTTAAGCAACATTTCGCTAAGGTATAATACGTTTTAGGTACTATTAAGTTTTAAAGCAGCTCTCCAAAAAAAAATGTTTTTTCACCATAAAAAAATGGTACTAAAAACTCATTTTATCCAGTCAATACACATCAAAGATGTGGGCGCCATTGTAGCCAGTCGACTTATTCCGTATCCACCAAATTTAAAAGTTATTGGACCTGTTTACAATTGCCCCTGTTTACCATTACCTCAACTATATGTTGTTTAGCCCTATGTTGTTTAGAATGTGATTTCGCAATAATAGACGTCGGTGTGGCAATAGCATATGGCCTGGTGGGTTAATGTTAATGTACTGAGTGAACCAATATAACATTAGTAAGAAAGAGGCTAAAGTGTAAAAAAAGAAAATTGTGTTTTTATCGCATTTAATGATAGTATATCAATTGGGCTAAGTGCTAAACCTAAAATTGTTGTTATAATCGACTAATGAAATTAGAGCTATAGTGTGACCAACGGATCTGTAGCTACGGGGTATCGGCAGGGGAACGCAGTTGTAAACAAAACACGCCCAATTTCATTCATAAAATAGGCATGGGCGTACGGTGTTATATGAAAATAATGTGTATCATAAATATAATACTCAGATTAATAATTTTTTTTCAAAAAACTTTATGCTGTTTGAATCGTTACTGTTGAGTTAGCAGATAAACACTAGAAGCTTTTATTAAAGCTCCCTTAAATATTTTGAATCATTTTATTATTGTGTTGTTAATATAATAGAAGAAATAATTACAGCTGGGGGTTGGAACCTTTGGTGTTACACAGCAAAATAAAACACTAAATCAGTACAATACACCAAAACACTTTTAATTTTACACTGGACGCACGTTTCGCTAACCATGTCTGCCATCAGCAGATGATCAAGACTGAGTCTTGAGGTATATTTATTTATATATCTGTACTAACTATATTTTTTTCTGTAATACATAATTTTAGATATAACTATTTCCAGCAAAAAAATCTTGAAAATAGTTAACTTTGGAAGCGCAAACAAAACAATTTTACTCACCAATAGATCCAATATTGCCTATTACACCAGATATGGTATCGCTCCGCCAGCAGTTTTTAAAGGTTAGGTCATTGTCTACCCATATGTTTCATCCAAATAGATAATACTTGGCTATATTCTCGAATTTCGCGTATATATTTATATCTCTCTCTGCAATATAATGGGCCGCTCCATTAATATTTATCAGTTATTTTGACATTTACGCCAAAAAAATTCATTTGATTTTAATAACCCCTAAGCATTTCCCTGCAAAGGAAAATTCGATTCTTCCTGCAATTTTTGCAAAGCTTTCTAATTGTGGGGACGAGTTTGAAGAAATATCCGCTCAAGTTTACGTTTAAGCGGCAACTTAAGCGAACTCTCTGTAGCTTCTTCATCGCAAACCCTATTATGAACACAAGGAAATAAACCAAATGAGATCAAACTTGATATTAATAATTAAAAACTACGAACGAAAAACATTATAACAAGATAACAAAACAATAAAACACAACTTAACTATCAAATATACGAAAAATATAGGAATAAAGTTTAGGATAACCGGTATAAAATAATGAAATAAAGTAATAATGATCAAAAAAATGACACCGCCACTGGATATTTCAATAGTATTCAATATTCCTACTCTTTTCAGAAGAGACCGTGAAGTTGGGGATAAAGCAAGCGAATAGGAAAGGCGTAAAAGCCATGGCAACCGCCTGGTAACAAATCCTGTGACGTACTCTCGCCAATCATGTTCGATGAATAGGCGGCCATGCGCGGCGATGCCGGTTTGCCAATGATATCGTTGAAAAATCTTCAACTTTCATAATAAGCAGATTATACAGAATGAAAGAAATAACTTATTAAATAAAACATATCGAACAATATGAACTACGTTAAAATTCCTTAGTAATATACGTCAGAATATATGCTAAACACATTATATATAATAAAAATATATTAAATTTATAGTTCTTGTCTGGCAATTTTGCAATTTTATAGATAAACGTGGCAATATCGATTTTTTTTCTCGCATTCCTTCCGTAGCTTCAGATCCGCTGGTCAAACAGTAATTAATCTGCTATATACCCTCACTGTTAAGTTAGAAATACGCTCAATAACTCTGTTATGTTATTTGAGCACTTCGCCTGTTTCTTGCTTATAGTCTTTAATTGTAGATTTTTGAATGGCGATTTCATGTCCCACGATAGAAAATCTGAAGGGTGGAATTTGAGGAACGGATATCCAGCTGATGCGCCTCTGAATACGTTTCCCAAAAGGGCTATGTTTGCTGGAGCTTCTAATGGGCTTTTGTTGCTACTCACAGCCTATGAATACGATTTAGACTATATCTGCAACGGGCATTTTCAAGGTTTTAAGGTAAGAAAGGTTTTAAGTTAAACTTCGAAGCAAAGATCTAGGGAATTGTAGTGTAAAATGGTATAGGGGGAGGAGGGGGGGGGAGTTAATCACCGTGACTTTGTAGATCTATTGTGTCCTCCTTTCTTGAGTTATAACTCATCATACAGTCTCAGGCCTTTGACAAAACAGATCGGATATGTCGACTTTAACTTATAACCCAAATTTCAGCTTTCAATATGCCGAATTTTTAATTTATGCCAATGCTTATTCAAGATCATGTTTTTGTCAGTGTAACTGTTTAAGTGTTTTATTTTTTATCTCGAAAATTATTAGATTGGTATAGCTTAGTATGATAGAAAAATTATGAGATATGAAAGGAGTTTCAAAAACAAAGATGCTACCACTTTTAGAATGGAGCAGCAACACTGTAATGCTGAAAATGATTTAGATAGATGGAGCAGGTGCCTTTAAGTAAAAATCCAAATTTAAAAAAATCTTATCACCGGTTTTCCATAAACGTCTAATGTACCATGGCCGTGAATTACCCTGTATATAAGGTGGCGCCTCTCAACGCCGCGGAAGCTCCAAGGAGAACGGTAGTTTATATCGAAATGAAATTTTGGCAGTATATGTCGGTTAACTGAAAGCATTTTATAAAAATTTATAGAATTATACAGGGTGTCCCCAAAAAAAGTTACACACCAATGTTGTGTTTTTCTAATGGAACATCCTATACAGGGTCCGGCAATAGTGCGTCGGGCATCTGTAGCTCCTAGAATAAAAAACTTGAGAATTTTGTTTAAGTGCAATCCTAAAGTATGTATGAGGATGTATTTCCGCAAAATATTTTAACTTCTATAGGGTGGCTCAAAAAAGTGTGAGTGAATCTGGATTTTTTTTAAATAGTACACCCTGTAAATTATTGCATTTTTGGCTTCCTTTTAGATCACTTTACATAATCCTAAGATATGAGTAAATCTATCTCGATAGTTTCAGAGATATTAAAATATAAGTCAAAAATATATATTTGTCAACCTTTCTTAAAAAAAATACTAAAAATACAAGAACTGTTCTGAAATCAAAACTATTTTAGATATTTACTTTAGATGGTCTGTTCTTACTTTGCTATAAATATGGTAATCGTAAATCATACAGGATGTTCAATATTTTAAGCCAAACTTTCAAAAATATAATATAATTTTTCTTCGTTTTTTTTAAACGGAACATCCTGTATATTATTTTTTTATTTGACGGAGAATTAATAAATGAACATTTTTTGTATTTAAAGTGTTTCAAATTTTTTAATAGTTTTCCGGATACACGCAGTATTATTTCATATGGCGCTTTCAATGGTAAAATACGAGAGAAAAATCATTGGGTGGCTTTGATAAAAATTTACTGTAGAAAATGCCATATGAAATACAAAACCGGGAATATCTGCAAAACCGTTAAAAATTTTGAAATACTCTAAATGCAAAAAATGTTCACTTTTTAATTCTCCATATATTGAAAAAAATAATATACAGGGTGTTCCATTTAAAAAAACAAAGAAAAATTATTTTATATTTTCGAAAGTTTGGTGTAGAATTTTGAACATCCTGTATGATTTACGATTTCCATATTTATAGCAAAGTAAGTACAGACCACCTAAAGTAAATATCTAATATAGTTTTGATTTCAGGACAGTTCTTGTAGCATTAATAATTTTTTTAAGGCTGAAAAAAATATAATTTTTATTTATTTATTAATATCTCTGAAATTATCGAAATCTATTTAATCACGTCTTAGAATTATGTAAAGTGATCTGAAAGGAAACCAAAAATGCAATAATATACAGCCATATATATAATTTTTGAGCCACCCTATAGAAGTTAAAATATTTTCCTGAAATACATCCTAGTACATACTTTAGGTTTGCATTTAAAGAAAATTCCCAAGTTTTTTATTTTCGGAGCTACAGATGCCCGACGCACTATTGCCGGACCCTGTATATTAATTGATTTTGGGATTTTAGAAAAAAAATAAATGTGAGTTTTATTAAAGAAGCATATACCTAAAATCTAAGGATTTTGACATATTTCACATTTTGTGAAAATAAAGAGTAAATTTTAAATTTCGATAACAGCTACCTAAATTTTAGTTGACTTTGTATAGCCTGATATTTAATTACAGTAACCATTGTATGTTAAACCAAATTGAAATTTGACCTGAAAAGTTATACAGGGTAAGACAAAATTAATATGGAACATTAGTCACATTTAAAAGCGAGTTATTCTTTTATTTTAAATGGAACACCCAGTATATTTTTCCGGTGTTCAATGGGAAATTTATAAGTCTTCGAAATATTATTAAGGTTGCTACCCCTCAGACAAAGATTTTCCGAGATATTTTAATTTTTATGATTTTGTGTCAGTAGATCTTTATTATTTGAAAAAATCTAGGGGTGGCTGTGTGATATACCTCTTGTTAATTTAACGAAAATTAAGCCCACGGTCACACAGAAAGCGTTTTTTGCGTTTTTAGCGTGAAGCGTCTTGAGCGACTAAAACAAAATAACAGGATTATATAGGAGTGGCCACACCAAAAGCGTGTAGCGTTCGGCGTGTCTCGCAAAAAACGCAAATAAAAACAAATCAGTTTGTTTTCTGTAGCGTCTTTAGCGTTTTCTAAGATGAGACCCCGTCATAGGCGGATGTTATATTTAATAATACAATAAAAATAAATAAAATAAAATAATATTTAACTAGTATTATCTAAAAATATTTTTATAAAGCACATCTATTGTTTAGGTAGATTCTATTAAATTCAAAAATTTGAAGGAAATGTTTGAAAAAGCGTAGTTTGAAATGTTGAAAAAGTAATAAATTAAAGGAATATTTTCTTACGCGTAAAAAATATTTTTTTATGCGTAAAAAGTGTTTTTTTTTCTGCGTAATAAAGTTTTTTTTTTAACAGAAACAAATAGTTTTTCACGCGTAAAAAATAGTTTTCTACCAGTAACAAATAGTTTTATACGCGTAAAAATAGCTTTCTACCAGTAACAAATAGTTTTATACGCATAAAAGTAGTTTTTTACGTGTAACAAATATTTTTTTTACACGTAATATTTTGATTCACTTTTACAAAATTTCTATTAAAATGGACTGCTCACAAATACACGTCGCGTCACTACGTATTTCTAAGCCGTTAACACGTTTCGTTACAACGAGCTCGTGTGTCAGGCCCGTCTCACTAGGTCGTATGTCACGGTCTCCAATTTTTATTCCCAGCGCGCGTAAAGAAGTTTCACTCCAAAATGTTTCATAAATCGTGTCCTAAAATTGCATTAGCAGCTAGAAATATTTATTATTTTATTATATAATTATAATTATTTATTATATTATATTATATTTATAACAAGTACTAATCACAACACTACAACATAAAAAACACTATACACATATAAACTAACATTCGTAAAATAAATGGCAAATAATAATAATTATTTTTACACACACCACTGGCACTAACAGTAGATTGTGTTTGTCTCCGAATATATGCTCCGGCCCGTTCACAATTCAATCCTAGCATCTTTTATCTTCGTCTCTTCAACGCTAACGGCGCCGATCTCGCCTATCTCTTTCTCACAGGATTGATTGTTGGACGGACCGGAAATCCACGAGCTTGTGACGTTACTAATTGATATCTTGATAGAAACTGCAGACCTGCCGCGTCTTTTGCGTATTTTTAATGGACACAAATCTAAAAAAACGCTTAAAACGGTAAAATCGTAAAAAGCGCTTGAGACGCAAAAAACGCAAAACGCTAAAAACGCTTTCTGTGTGGCCGTGGGTTAAGGATTGTGGAGTAAAATAAACGGTAATAAAAAGATACACGTTTAAAACATATTTTAATTATTACAGAATTAAAACTAGATATAAACCTATTATAATTATATGACAAAAATTAGCTAGATGAAATCAAATGCTCAAAATGCTTCCTTCCCTGTTAACTGCGTAAAAGGATTGTCTTTTCAAAAGAATCTTTTCATTTTAAAACGCATATGTGGAGTTCAAGCTAGAAAAGCAGCTACAATAATTTCTCTCATGTTGTCGACAATAGTTGGCCGAGTTTTGAAAACACTGTATTTTCATATCCCCAAAAAAAACAGACTAGATAAAATCAGGAGCATCTAAGTATTCTATTAATTGGTTAATGCACACTGTATTCACCAACTAATAGAATCAAATCAATTCTCTCTGATGTAGGATAAGTTTGCATTTTCGGCAAATTTCTAAGATTTTTTTTTGTTTTAACTGACACAAAATGATAACTAGTTGTTAAAGTTGGACTAATTAGACAGCTATGTTGAAGTAACGTCAGAGATATCACAGCCACCTAGATTTTATAAAATAATAAAGATCTACTCAGATCAAATCATGTAAATATCTAGGAAAATATTTGTTTGAGGGGTAGGCAACCTTAATAGTGTTTTGAAAAGACATGAATAATAGTTCTCCATTGAATATCGGAATAATATACTGGGTGTTTGGTTTAAAATAAAAGAGTAACATGCTTTTAAAGGTGACCAATGTTATTGTAATTTAAAAATTGTTCTTTATTTTTAGAAAATGTTAAATATGTCAAAAACCTTACATTTTAATCATATACTTCCTTATAAAACTCACCTTTATTATTCTCCCAGAATTCGAAAATCAATTAATATATAGGGTGTTCCATTACAATAAACACAACTTTGATATGTAACTTTTTTGGGAACACCCTGTAGAACTCTTTATATTTTTAGAAAGTGCTCTGAATTAACCTATACAGGGTGAGTTTTCTACGATGTTCTCTACTGGAGATAGAGAGTCGGTTAAATGGGGAAAGAATTGCAGTTTTGTGGGGTCATATAAATATGCGCTCTTTAGATTTTTGAAAAAGTTCATGGCTTACTAGATATTTCGAAAAAAAAACAAATTTTAGCTATTTTAAAAATTGTCTCTAATTCCCTTATAATCTATTTTAGACAAAAAGTT